GGTCGCGGGACAGCGCTGCGCAACAGTCCTAAGAATTGAAGCGTTTTTGGTGGTGGTTGAACCTAGTAAGATTATATTCCTTGTATAAAATACTATACCCCAAAGGGAGGACAGAATCTTACGCTATATTGGGTACCATAGTATCCCAAATTAAATACTACTCAGGTTGGGTTGAGGGTTTAGGGTTCGGGGTGTAGGGTGTAGACACTAGGAGGACCCAACACCCTGAAATAGTGGTATAACAGGAATATACTGGGACCCTGATATATAATTCTTATTATCCTTTACAGTCACTATTGCAGTGTGGGGGGGGGGGTAGTACAGACGAGTTTAGGGTTTAGGGCAGGGTTAAAGGTTTGGAAATGCATCCAATGATGGCTTCGAATGGTTGCTGCCGCCTGTTGAAAATGAAAATTCAAGCCGTTTTCCAAAGCTGCCCGGACCTGAACCCGAAACCCTAAATCCTCAACCCTCAGCTCTAAATCCTAAACCCGAAATCCTAAACCCTAGGGATTCGACCGCTGGATTGCTTCCTCACGGGTTTCGGACTGTTGCAGTTTAGCTGCCGGACTTTAGCATGTGGGTACTTCCCAAAATACGGGTCCCATTTTGGTACCCCTAAAGTTTAGGTGCCGTAATATAATCTATAACCAAAAGAGGCCACTAACTTTGGGAACTACTCATGTTATCCTAGGGAGTCAGGTCTCCGGGTGCACTCGGCACAGCTGCAAATCGTTGCTTCAAGATGTTGTGCCGGCGACAGAAAATGCTTGGCTCGTTTGGGGGATACAAAAGAAGCAGCTCGGTACCGTTCGGGGCTTACCCAAAATTGGGTGCGCTAAGAGAGCCCAAAGACATGTGGGGGTTTTTAAACAACCCGACGGATATGTGGAGATTAGGGTTCGGGGTCTAAGGGGGTTTACCAATTGATCGTGGGGGGTAAGAATTTGATGAGTTATTGAGATAGCACCGCCGGATGATGTGGGCCGCAGGCTTAGATAAAAATGACCATCCTCTGCACATGCGCTGGCTGTACCTGCCAAAGAACACATGCACTTGGGGTATACTTATAACCCTATGAGACATATGGTATCCCTAGTTATCCCCAGTATTAACCTACTTACTAAGTCCCCCTGACCCTCCAAGTAGTTTGCAAAGTAGGACATCCCTGACTTATCTGGTGAAGCACATCACCAGAGAGGCACTATCTAGCAAGAGGGGTCCCTCGCCGCCCTTCTTAGGTGGTGCTGTCGCGTGAAGGCTGGGATCTGGAACGTTGGGTCGAGGAAGAATATGGGTTGTTCTCCAAATTATGGGCCCCTTTGGGTTATAGATTGTATTCTGGCATCTAATATTTTGGGCTACCAAAATGGGATCCGAATTTTGGGAACTATCCATATCAAAGAACTACCCAAGGCGTGGCCGAGCTTCTCGTAGCGTTGCGTGCTATCCGCGCCCTCGTCATCACTGAAGATGGACCAGATCAGCTTAAGCATCACCAGGTGGATGATGGAGTGGAGAACCTTGCATCCGGAGCAAACGGCCAGAAACACATTGTTTGTTGACTTGCATTTCTGGGGTGATTGGGGGTGCCTGTGTGTTAGCATGATGTTCATTTCAATCATTTCCGGGTTGCCGTAACAGCAGACCCAGTCTGTACTATTCCTCTCGAGAGGCAAATTTGCTGAATGAGGAATGACCACATTGAAATTGTGCTTCGTCCAATTCTGCCGCCAAGACTCCATGGCTGCAATGATTCCCCACCACAGGAAGCGGCCTGCTGAGAACAGAAGTGGCTCGGATTGGAGACGGGCCAGCATTGTTGGCGTCGTCGTAGAAGTAGTGGTAGCAGCAATAGTAGCAGTAGAAGTAGCAGCAGCAGCAGCAGCAGCAGCAGCAATAGATGAAGGAGTGATTGTGGCATAAGCCAGTAGAAGGCCAATTACAACTGTACGCAAAAACCTGGGTTTAATAGCTGTAGCAGTCACAACAATAAGAGTAATTATAGCAATGATAGTAACTATCATGATAGCAATAGTAGTAACAATGGGTTTATTCAGGACTTGGGCTCCGAGACTTCAGTCGCTACCCACCAAACACAACGCCAAGGTCGTGCGGTTGGGATCTTGGGGTCACACAGCGAGGGGCCGATATGATCAAAAGACTGCTGCGACAGTCTCTCAACTTGCAGGATCCCTTTCTTCAGGGAATATCTTGGGGTTATATTGGGATAATGGAAAAGAAAATGGAAACTACTGTTGGACATAGGGGTTATATTGGGATAATGACTGAGAAGCGCATGCTAGCAGCAAATGAGCAAGAGGGAAGACTGCTCTGGTATGCCCCGAGCATTCTTTTCTATCAGCAGTCTCAGAAAAGGACCCACACACTTTCCGTTGAGCAAACCCTAAACCCTAAACCTTGAACCCTAAACCCTAGATCCTAAACCCTCGAACCCTAAACCCTAAATCCTAAACCCCTATATAACCCTGACCCCAATATAGCCCCAGTACAACCCTTGAAAACCATCCTGCCTTTCAGCACACCAGAGCCAAGCTCCCTGCCGCCGGACTCCTGGATTCATTATCCTTAAAGGGGAGTAGGGATGAATGGAAAAATGGAAACTGTAGGGATTATAGGGATTATATAGGGTTTGTATAGGGATTGCAGGGAATATATTGGGGTTATGTGGGGATAATGGAAAAGAAAATGGAAACTAGTATAGGATATACAGGTTATATATGGGGATAAGGGAAAAGAAAATGGAAACTACTATAGGATATAGTGCTTATATCGGGATAATGGAAAAATGGAAACTACTATTGGGTCCACGGGGGGAAGTGGGTGTTGGTGTTGAGGGTTTGGAGCTTAGGGTCTAGGGTTTCGGGCCCCGTGGGGTCTGATACAGCCATGTGGTGTTGTCAAAGCCAGTTCATCCCCAAGCTGATTTCATGTGCAGGCCTGCGCCATGGTATTCATATCTCTAAACCCTACACCCTAAACATAACCTTTAGGGGTCGCAATGTCCGGGACTATGACACCCACTGCTTGCGCCATCCTAGAATTTCATTTCTGCATCTGACTGTGGCTAACCATGAATACTATTGAAGTCAAAGCCCTAGTCTTACCCTTACATTACTATTATTACATCAGTATAGTTACTACCATTACTAGTAGTACTATTATTGCTCTTATTACTAGTATTACGATTCTTGCTATTCAGCTGAAAGCCCAAAAGCCGTAGCCCCACGGCGTCCTGGTTGGCTTTGAAGACCAGGGCCCCTGCCAGGATGGACACCTTGAAGGGTGTTGCTACTCTGACTTAATACTGGGTTGGCCCCTAAAACCCTTTGAAAAATATTAGTATATAGGGTCCCTCATTAAAGCCATTAGGGAAAATATTAAATATCCCAGGGGCCTACCCAGAATAGTAGTAATAGTAAAGGACTCTTATTACTAGTATTCCCATTATTCCTATGGTTGCTATTACTACTATTCTTACTGCCACTACGATTAGTAGTACGTATGAAGACAGCTTCTCTCCAGTGGTTTTGTGACAACGCGGAGGGGTCCGGGCCCTGAGTTCAGGTTTGCCGTCAACGCTACGAGCTCCTCAAGGGGTAAAACCCTATGTAAACGTCCTGCCATCAACACTGGAATTGAACTCTTACAAAATTTCCCTCAAGATAGCCCAACCTACAATCTCATAGACTTATTGGTTCTTAGTAAGGAATAGGGGAATACAATCCCTATATGATCCCTACCTAGAACCAGTACGTAGAGCCTTTAGAATAAGACGTCTTAGCCAAGGCACGCGGATGGCTAGCAAGGAATATGGGAATACAATTACATGATCCCTATGTAATATATTCCTACTAAGAACCCTATATAATCCGCATATAATCCCTATAACATCCCTATAACATCCCCATAAAATCCCCATATGATCCCTAGATAATCCCTACAAAATCCCTAGATCATCCCTATGTCATCCCTATGTCATCCCCATGTAACATCTTCCCTAATTACCAGCCGAGGCACCGGGATGATAAAAAGCTTCTGCGCCAGATTGTGCACCGCAGGACTCGACCATTGGAACTTGCAGACGAAGCGCAAGACCTTCACCTCGAGACCATAACAATACTATAAAGGGTTATATAGGGGTTGTATAGGGATACTGGAAAAGAAAATGGAAACTGTAGGGATTAAAGGGTTTATATAGGGATTATAGGGGATATATTGGGGGTTATGTGGGGATAATGGAAAAGAAAAATGGAAACTACTATTGGATATAGGGGTTCTATAGGGATAATGGAAAAGAAAATGGAAACTACTATAATCCCCTAAATGACCCCTGTAAGGAGTTTAGGTTATGGCTCACCCCGACCCCTGATTAATACACCCCTTGCAAGGGATAGGGATAAGGATAGGGATCCTAATATTGAAGGCCCTCAAACATAGGGGGTTTACTATTTAGGGGTCTACATTTTTTCTAAACTCCTAGCATCCCCTATAGAATCCCTAAGTACCCCCTTTTAGGAGTTTAGATTATGGCTCACCTTGAGACCATCATTGCCTTACTGGCTTTAGGGTGAGTAGGGAATAAAGGATAATCATCCCTACATCGAATTTTCCCTTGTTCCCTACTACCCGCCAAGTAAGTTGCGGCTTGACAGATGCGGAAAACCTGTGCCTAGACTCGAAGTCTTGGAATGTTGAGTTTTAAGGTGAAGGATTTGCTGATCCTGGTGGTTACGAAGCACAGGATGTGTACTTTGATGGTCAAAAATGAAGGCTCTTCAGAGCAGGCCTGATGTAGAAGCTCAAGGCCAGGCCCCTTACATATATGTTATATAGGGATAATGGAAAAGAAAATGGAAACTACTATATTATAATAGGGTATATATTGGGGTTATATTAGGGTTATATTAGGTAATGTATGAGTACCATAAACAGTCTCATGACTCCCTACGTTGCATGATGTGCACACTACTATCTTCACAGTGACACAGGAAGTATCCTGCGGGATGAATTGGCAAGCCACGGGCAGGGTTCTGTTTGTGGCATGGAAGGCTGCCGTTTTTGGAAGCGCTGGTGCCAAGGTAGCCGGGATGCTCGGTCGTAGATGTAGAGGTAGATATGGGAGACAATGAGCGCACTGAAAGTCAACGCCATGTAGGCCGGCGACACAAATGGGATGCAAGTCACCTGCACCGTGCATCCCCATGCTTTGCACGCGTGGAAGCAGGGTGCCGGGGTGCTCCCACCGTTGCGGTGCTCATTCTGACAAAGTACTGCTACATACTGCTGCTGTCCCTGTTGTGACTTTCAAGAGCCCAAACCCAAAGCCCGCTTACACAGAAAGAGCTCAGGGCTGCCCCACCAGGATCACGTTGAAGATGAGGTCAGCATATCGACCCGGCTCCATCTCCGACAGCTCAAAGGCCTCTGCGGCTCGCAGACAACACTAAGACTATGGAAAAAGAATGAGGACGTCTCTTGCAGCAGGCCAGGGCTGAAGGAATTTGGAAAAACTTGTGAATTCACTTGTGGTGAAGGTCTTGCTTCAGGGCTTAAGTTCAGAGATGCAATAATCGCCAAGCACTGCAATATTGCCAGAAGGTCGGCAGAATGTCATCTAGGATGCCTTTTCTGCCATCTCGCCGCGAATGCGTGGGTTGGCACCCACCAGGAGCCTTGCCGCACCAAGGACTCAATCAGTGTCGTGGGTCTAGGTGTGGAGCGCACCAATCATTCAAACCTACTGACTTTTTGCAAACCTCTTCAAATCACTGCTGATGGCACAAAGAAGCCCCTGTAGCTGCCATGTGGTCTCTTGCAGCATGGCCGCCCAAAGTCTCATAGCTATGATAGCTGGCACGCCTATCTTCTATGGCTCAAGGTTGAGGGTACAGGGCTTTTGCATTCCTGAAACAATTTCCGCAGCCCTAAACCTGTCCTGGCAATGTGCCGGGGGAGGACTTGCGCAACGACCGGCTCAAACAGGAAAGGCCTCAAATTGACTCACTGTGCGTAGGAGTTCTAGCGTAGGTCAAGGTTTGTCCATACGTGATATCAGGTTCACTGGTCAAGCAACCGTTGGATGACACTACCCTCTAGCATCAGGCACATTTCTGCTGCCCTACCAAGAAGCTTCACCTGCCAACCTTACAACATGTCCAGCAATCTGCAGTGGGTTCCATAATATTCTATAATATACTATAATACAGTATAATATACTATAATATACTGCCTTATACTATCGCATACTACCATATATCAGATCTCAGGCAGCAGCTATCTGTGGCATGCAGCAGGGGCTGATGAAAAGTGCGGAAGCGAGGTAGAAGCTTGAAATGATGCCATGGGAACAAACTAGTGATTATACTCTCAACCGTAACTCCCGACCCCAAACCCTAAAGCCCTGGGTGCCAGACACGAAGAACGTACACGGCCAGCAGTACTTGAAGAGAAGCTTCCCCAAAGACTTCTGCATGGGATACGACTCAAAGATGTCCTGGACAGCGGCAAATTCAGGCTAAGGGTTTTGGGTTTCGTGTTTAGGGTCCGGGGTTTGGGGTTTAGGGTCTGGGTTTAGGGTCTAGGGTTTAGGGTCCAGGGTTTAGGGGGTTACCTAATTCTCTGGAACACAATGGAGGACCGCTCCATAGGACAATGGTGGTTTAAAAAGGTCGGCGTTCAGGATACTTGCGGGAATGTGTAAGAATGAGGGGCCCAACGTACACAGTATACCATAATCTTTATGGTAGGGTCCCTTAACAAAGGTGACCTATTTGTGAAACCCTACGCCCTATGTCCCTAGACATCCCCCATACATCCTAAATTTCCTTATATCCCTATATACCCCCTGTATACCAGTATAAACCCTCTTTACAGAGTCCCGGAAGGTATGTTACCACTGCAAGAGCCACAAAACTTTTGGTGCCAGATTTCCACCTCCAGCTCGGGCCCAGGCTTTGGGATCATGGAAAAGAAAATGGAAACTATTATATTCTAATAGGGTATATATTGGGGTTATATTAGGGTTATATTAAGTAATGTTAGGGTTATATTAGGGTTATATCATAATAGGATATAAATTGGGGGTTAGTATATTGGGATCATGGAAAATAAAATGGAAACTGCTATTTAGGGTTTAGGCGTCTACGGGTTTAAGGGTTTATAGGGTCAAGGGATAAGGTCAGGGTCCAGGGCTCAGCGCTCAGGGTTCGGGGTTCGGGAAGTAAGGCCTAAGATTTGAGATAGGGCGTGATGCAAAGGATCTCGATCCTCATATCCGACCCACTTGCAGAAACGTTGCAGTCTGGTGGCTGGGCTACACGTGAATCTTACGGAGGGGCCCTGCCCCAGATGCGAACTAAAATCCCTCACCTATGCCTGACAGCCTCTGAGCACTTTGGCCTTCATCAGCTCTCCTTAGAATCCCGATCCCCACCTGCAGCAGAAAACACAATAGCAGAGCACGAAACACAAAGGTGAGGGCAATATGCTGATAATGAGATGACAGGGACTGTAATGATAAAAACAAAGCTGATTGCTATCATACAGTAGCCGCTCGCAGCCTGAAAGTCGGTCATCGACCCCAGCAGCTGCCCGTCTGCAGTGTGGACGCCCACACCAACCATCTGCAGGTAACTCAGGTAGGCCTGGAGCCTGAGATCAGCCAATCCTCAACCGCATGAAAACGAAATTGGTGAAATGGAGAATCACATGGAAAATGCGACGTAGAATGAACTGGAATCTATATAGCGCACCATGGAGACTCAAATGGTAAGATTACGTGGAAACTGAGTTTCTGTGGAGTACGCTGAGGAATGCCATTTAAATTCAGTCGCCTTCGCGGGAAGACAGCAAGAGCCCCGAATACAGAGCCTTCAAAACAGGAAAGGGAAGCGAAAAAAGGTATCGAATAATTCTGGAGAACCCACCTCGGGGTCCGTGCCACAACCATGTATGAATCCTCACTCGACCCTTTACACAAGAGAACCTGCTCTCCATGTGTTCTGTGGGGAGCGATTTTGTGGCTCGGAACGGTTGAAATCTGACGGGAATCCCATGTCCTGCCATCATGCAAATATAGAATCAGAACATTATACCATACACTACGTAACTGCTCCCGCTGCAAGGGTAGCCATTAACAAAGCAATGATGCCGAGAAAACTGGGCCTCTGCCTCCCTCTCAAGCTTGCTGAAGCCTAAGGGTCCATGTATCCAATCATTGGGTCCCTTCAAAAAAATACATATACAAATATGTATACATATAGGGACACATAAGGATATGTAGGGTGTATGGCTCATTTGCAGAGGAGGTGCGTGATGTCCAGTGCCAAGTTCAGGATCAAGGCTGCATTGTAGAACACGGTGTACGACTGGTGGACCTGGCACACTGGGCTTCCAAGACTCGGGCGTAAAGCAATGTACGAATCGCATAGATTTGGAGCCTCACCCCCCCAAAAGAAGAGTTCAATGACACATAGGCTTACATGAGCCCCAAAACCCTGAACACCGACCCTTAAACCCGATAGCCTTATACCTACCGCACCGGTGCCGCAACTAAACGGGGTTGCATTCACCCCCGTCAAGATGAAACCAGAGCCTACAGCACATGTTTTGAATAAGGCCTCTGGCTAAATCCCTCTTTGAAGACAACCTCAAAACTGTGAGGCGCAAACCCATGAACCCCAATGCCCAAGACAAAGCAAGAACCCCTGCGCGGGTTTTGCACAAATCCCTTTAGTTCACTGGAGCATTTCGGCAACCCTGACAGCCAAGACTAGGATCCAATTACAATCATAAAATGACAGCTATAGGGTCCTAATTTTGGGGTGTTGCGATTACTAAAACCTTGTTATTGTTAGTCCTGAGGCCCCTGAAGCCCACATCTGACAATGCTGCAAAATTTCACACTCATGCTTGCATCCCCAAGACAACACGATGCTTGTCAAAGGTCTCCAGACTTACACAACCCCAGGAATTTGACAAAACTCCATCAGAATAACGCTAAGGTGGTGAACTTCACAAATACCAAGCATGACACATGAGATAGTATACCCAGCAGGAAAAAAAAACGCCGGCAGTAAGACAAATCGTTCCGATAACATACACCAAGCCCTCATCCCGACACCCTGTCTATAATCCCCATAACCCCCTAGGGGCCTAAACCCCAAACCCCAAATATCAGCCATTTCCGGCTGCAGGGGCCTGGTCCTCCGAGTGGAAGCCAGCCATCTTCGAGGCTATGGAGCTGCACACAAAAAGCCCAATCCTTGAGTAAGAGGACTTTGGACAACCCCAAGGGTTTATGGGGGTTATATGGGGATTATATAGGGTTTGGGGTTTAGGGCTGTAGTACCCAAACCATGGAGAATCAAATTGAAAAGGGCATGGAAAATGAACTGGTCAGTTACCCCAACCCCTGCAATAAGGACCCTGTAACTCTCATATGACGAGAAAGAAGTCCTAAGTTTGGGGGTCTGGGTTGCCAAAATCCCTTCATGATGCCTAGCAGAGCCCTGGCACATGTAACTAGGTTTCTTAATTATGAGATTTGGACCGAGCTCCCATGAATCTCATGGCGCCTCGGGGCTTTGTATGGAATTTGTTTTGGCTTGGGGCTTTGAGGGGCATCAGCCTAAGAGCATTCAAAAGGTTCCCGGAGAGTTCCCGAAGGGTCCTCATAGTCTTGCAACGGCCTATGACATGCGTTGTCCATGCGCGGTGCTTGCCAGGTTTCGTGGTGAACTTCAAAAAGTTCATCGCAACCAGGATCTTACTGGAATGTTTTCTCCCTGCACGGGTTGCAAAGCCTGCATGGGGACTTGGGAAAGCCTATGAAAGCTTCAAGGGACCGGAATGACGACTGACTCAGCAACTGGATTGTACTAGCGCGCTATGACGGAAGATGAATGCACCCACAGTGTCTGACTGAGGACCACAAGCGTGATGAAGATGCCCTCAGAGAACTCACCTGCGGAGCTTGCGCATCTTGTTTTGGATACGGGCAGTTCCCAAGAAAAACCTGTGTGAATATGGGTAGTTCCCAAAATGTGGTTCCCATTTTGGTACCCCTAAATGTCAACCAATAAAAAGGGGGCCCATGATTTGGAGAACAGCCAATATAGCTATGTATACACATATCCTGAAAGGGATCCCTCCAATCGACTTTCACTCTTCATGTCTCACTGGGGACCCTCCAGGGCAAAACCTAACAACGAGCCCAGACCCTATAAATGGGCTCCCATATGAATGCATCAAAAAAGCCGTTTGATATCGTTGGTTCAATCACGAATAGGGACCCTCATCATCCCCTCAGAATCTTCATAGATCCACAAATCCAAAAAGGGTACACGCATGTTAGACAAATTGAAAAGGCGAGAGTCAGAGCTGCCATCCCTGGAGAAAGAGAAAAAGCGGTCTGTTGGCTTCTGAAGATGGGGCGCCCCATAGGGATTTTAGGGGGGGAGGGTGTTGTAATGTTTGTGTGTATGTATGCAGATTGTAAAGGATCGTTAGGCAGCTCATTAAATATGATATCGATCCTGTTATTGTAAAATATTGATGTCGCACCTGGCTCATCTCCATTGGCGTAGGTGAAGGACGCCATGTAGAAGGCGTAGGGCAAGTAGAGGAGTCTTAGCACGGAGATGTGGGGGTCTACTAAAAGAAGGACCCTCTTTGTGATGCCGTTGCGCAGCGTTTTCTTCAAGCCCCTGATGTCGCCAAACGTACTCCTAACGGCTTTCCCAATGCACGAGCCTTTCTCTGGGAGTACTCTGCATGCGGAATCAGAACTAAAGACTCAAACCTTTAGAGCTTAGAACATCCCAAATGAGAGGCCCAGAAGCAGGGTCCACAGCAGGCAAGCTCCAGCCACGAGCATCGTGCCCTGGAAGAGATTCCTTGCATCAACAGACATCATGCTTGGACTTAGGGGCTAGGTGTTTAAGGTATTCAGTGTTGAGGTGTAGGGGGTCAGGGTTTTGAAGCTTCAGATGTAGCAGTCTCTTAGGCTTTAGGGTTGGTGGTTGTGGACCCAATGTAGGGTTCGGCTTCAGGCTTTAGGTGGCCATTCCCTTGTCCAATCCGCGCAAAGGACTACTTCAGCCGTCTCCCCACCACTATCTCACCCTTCCCAACATCATCCCATCGAATTGTCTCTGCCACTGGATTGTATCTGCAAGCATGCAGAGACAGCCGGTTCTGAAAGATCGATAAAGTCGAAAGACAGCTCAAAGAGCAGGCTTGAATACAGCCCAGCGTCGCTTTTTGCTGCCCTGGTGTGACCGCCATGTTGACCTTGCGAAGGCAGAGGAGCGGGTACGCTAGCTCATCCTTGTCATCATGCTATGCCTCATAGTCGAACGGATGTCACCATAAGCAGGCCCATGATTTCAAAATGAAGTCCCGCAACCCAAATGAAGCGGGACATCCTACCCAGAACTGCTCCAGAACCTCCGCAAGTCCAAAAAAGACGTCAAGCTCAAATCCTGAACTTGAGACTGAGCACTTTGTATGTTGAACCCAAAAATTTGATTTAACCCTAAGCCCCTTCAACCCCAACCCCAACCCCAACCCTAAACCCTAATAACCCTAATAACGCTAATAACCCTAATAACCCTAATAACCCTAATGACCCTAATAACCCTAATAACCCTAATAACCCTAAGCCCCTTCAACCCCAAGCCCTTTTCACCCCAAGCCCCGCAGCCCCTGCTGCCAGGAAGCCCAAAGCAGCTCCTCAGGCTCTGTGCTAACCTGGCTTTCGCTAAACTTTCAACCCCAAACCCTAAACCCCAAATCCCAAAACCCAAACCCCAAAACCCAAACCCCAAAACCTAAACCCTAAACCCTAAGGGTTCGTTTAGGGCTGAAGGTTCCGGGCTTCGGGTTGAGAACCTGAGCTCCCTGACCCCTAAACCCTCTGAACCCTAACTCTGGGGTTTAGAGGAATTAGGGAATGTAGGGTTTAGGGCTGTAGGGGATTCGGATTTCAGTCTTGGGGTTCCAGGGATCTAATTAGAAGCCATGGTTCTAGCTTGTTCCGATACTAGAGCTTTAGGGAGCAGAGTTGGGGATTTTATGAATTTCAATGCCCAGGGCCCAGGCTGTGCGGGACGGGGATTCCGGTTTCAGGATTGGGGTTTGCTGTAAATCATGTGAGGCATGTATTGTCCCCTACACATTCCCTGCTATAACCTCTCTTTAAGGAGCTTAGGCTCTAGCTCATATTATCATCCTTGCCAAGAACTGGAAAATAAACATTGCAAGCACCTTTTGGAAGATCTCTTCGCGCCACGTTTCATAGCGGATGCTTGGCAACAATCTCTGCTGGTAATACGATACAAGATCGCTGCCTTCAATTCACAACCATTCACTTGAAGCTTCGCGGCACTGCGTGGTAAGCGCAAATCTATCCGGGGGTGCCTGGGTATTGAAACAGAGACTATCTTCTGCCATTATAATACTCGGTAAATGGCAGCAAGCTAACGTCTCACCCTGACCACGAGAATCAATGCTACCCTTAACTCTAGGCCTTCGTGAGCGTGCAGGTGCTGCCGTTGATGAGAAGGCCACTGCGCTTGACCTCCGCAACTGGGGTCAGGTAAGAAAGGCTTTTGCGGAACCTTCTTCCAAGCTTCATGTACCTGGAGTGCCATAGATTTGGGCGCTAAGAAATGTTGACTCATGCTCAGCCAAGCTTGTAAACATTCACCTACGTGCACCTCAGCAGGCAATGAGTGAATAATGGCTAGGGGACATGCACATGATACCGATGGCTGTTTCTGTCAGTAGACCTATTACATACAGTGGCTAGCCCTCTCCTGTAGAAATCTGCCGATCAACAGTTCCAAAGGCCCATGAAACTAGACAAGAATGGCTCTAAAGACTCAAGACTTTTGTGTACTCTTTCTTTTGGCTGCTTTGATTCTGTAAGCTGATAGCCCCTACTTCTCGGAGCTGGCAATTGAAACTGATAAACAAGGATTTTGGGGGAAAGCTGCGCAGCTCAGAAGTTTTCAAGATGGCAGCTAGCATGCCAGCCCACAAAAATTGACCAATTCTGCAGCACCAAACCTGAAGCCAAAAATGAGGAGGAGGAGCAGGAGGAGGAGGCCCGTTGCTAGCTGCTGCTTGCAAGAGGTGCACCTGCTTTGATACTCACAGATACAACCCAGCTTGAATTGCACTTGGGCTTTCTGCAGTGTGCAAAAACGCCTCGCTCCAGAGATGCACTTTTTATCTGTGGTTGATCATGCTTCTACATTAATTATTGGGGGTTTCCCAAAATTAGGGGTACCCTTTTTGGGGTCCCCATGATGAGGACTATAGTATTTTGGGGTCTATATTGGGGTCCCCCTATTCTGGGAGACTACCAATTAAATGCGCATCCGAACATTTGACATCTTGATAGCCACGAACTCACTTTATCTTTCTTCAGGGGCCCAAACCATGCACCCATGTTCTGAGAAACTTCCAACAACAGGGCATTTGAGTGGCGTTTTTCTTGGTGTTTGAACCCAGTAAGGTTATATGTTATATTCCTTCTATAAGATACTATAACCCATAGGAGGATATAAGCTTACTTATATTGGGGTCTACAGTATTGCAATGATCATTATTCTTCTTATTAATTTGCCTATAGCATCCCCAAATAAACTCCTAAACCCTAAACTCGAAATATTACTCATTTGCCCAGCCACGGCATCGATGGCGGTGTTCTTGGCTGCCTCCGTAGCAAAGACCACGTAAGCCACAGGAGTGCTTTTCAGGTCCAGAAGCATCCTGGGCTTGTTTAGGGTTGAGGGTTTTAGGGTTTTAGGGTTTAGGGCTTAGGGTTTACTATAGTGGGTTGCGCTATAATGGAAGAATCCATGGAAAATAGAATGGAAAATGAAATGGAATTCACAGTAGGGGGTTGTACTATACTGGAAGATCAAAGGGAAAATTAAGGGGGACATGAAAAGGAACCTCAGGTCCCCTTACCAGGATTTTAGGCAGGGTTGGAAGTTTAGAGCTAGGGCCCAGAAAATCACACAGAGAAGAAAACCGAAAATGCCACCCTATTCAGGGCTTAGCGGTGAAAGTCTTGGGTTTATTGTGGTCATGTCCAGAAACATTCTTGGCTTGCAGTTGGCTGGGCGTGTAAGGCCTTGCGATGTTTAGACTTGTTAGTGCATGTTGTGGTTGGGCCTACATGCCTGCTCAATATGCTTACCCCCGCAGTCTAAAGGAGATCTCGGAACTTCTCTGAAATTCTCCGTGTGGAGGTGCTTTAATCCTACTAAGTAGATGGCATCTCATCAGTAACTACATACTCCAAACAGTCTAGCAATCTTGCAGAACCAGGCCACCATTCATAGCTCAGACTTCTGCAGCCAGGTTGAGGGCTCACATGTCCATCAAGACACATCACCCAAGACCCTTGCTGCCACGGTGCTGCTTCGTAGCTTCATCGCTGGGCGCATGGTGCCCATGCTGCAGGTGAACGTGCCACCTGGTTCCAAACGTCTCAAAGTGGGTTTCGGCTTCAGATTGGTCAAGGGTTGAGGGCTCAGCGTTTAGGCCGAGCTCACTGGAGAGTGGACGATGAATGGCTTCAGCTTTAAAGCATGTACTAGATCTTCGGTTCTAGACCTGACCCTTCAGCTAAGCCCCTGTGCCCAAAGCCTGCGGCCCAAAATGAACCCCAAAGCCCTACAAAAGCCTGAACGTCAACAACGGAGTGACACACACGGAAGCTGCACATCCCGAGCGCAACAACTTACACCTTCAACCCTCAAAACCAAGGTCTTGAACTGGCTCCTGTTGGGCCATTATTGAAATTCCTGTTTCACATGCCTTCTTAGGTTTTAGCACAAAACAACTGGTATTATGTCAGATTCTTGCCAACAACGGTCCAATAAATGTTCCTTCAACACCAACAAACAGACCTTCAGACAGCCAGTGGTTATGTCTTTCCCTCTTACTGTAACAATTACTAGTAACAGTAGTACTCCCAAAATAGACCCCTTTAAGGCCATTTACTGTGAGGGGGATGACCAAGCCAGTGGTGTTTTGTTGGTTCCGGCCTGTGCCGCCAGATAAAGCCTCTGTTTCCCATAGACACCCTGCTGACGCTCGCGGTTGAGGGTTTAGGGGTTTAGCGGTTTAAATTTAGGGGTTCAGGGGTTAGTCCCGAACATCAAGCTGCGGAGGGTAAAAATTCGAATGGAGCATCTTTCGGGTACTCGAGGCAAACCTGCGTTGAAGTTGTCCGGGGCGAGTGTACGAATCTACTCGCGTGCTGCACAAAGAGATCTCATTCTTGGCGGAAGTTGGAGGATTTCCATAAAAAGGGGTACCCGAGGTAGACATTGTCATCGGGACCCTCAGAAGCAGACCTCGATTTTCCTAACCACCATTTTCCTTACAGCTGCTTAAAGGAAAGTGAGGGAGTGGATCCTCATAATACTTCCTATGTACATCCCAAATTATACAACCTACAATACTCCCTATATTCATTCCCCTGCTCCCCCTTAAGCACCCGTAAGTAAAGTTTACCCTTACAGAAACAGCCGAGCTCCCAGCGCATCGAGGATGCTCCGAGTGATTTTGTCATTCATGCCTTCGCCCTCGCCTGGCCGTGAGCCCCACAAACGGGCCTTTGGTTACAGTCCCCCTCAAGTAGATAGAATATAGGGGTTATGAAGGAGTTGTTTTGGGGAAAATTGAAAATGAAATGGCGACTGCTATTTAGGGCTAGGGTTTAGGGTTAAGAGTCCCCCTTTAGTAGATAGAATATGGCTTTGGGCACATGATAATAAGATCCCCATAACAGCAACCCAGTCTAGCCCTAAACCCGAAACCCTAATGCCCTCGGGAGCCAACCCCTGGAACAGCTGCAAAAGCCATTGCCCTCGTCAGACCTCGTGTTGGTCAGCAGCGAGCATGTAGACATTGAAGATCTACTGAGAACCTAACACCCAACCTTAAACCTTGACAGCCTAAGACTTAAGCTGTTCAACGATTTGCTGACCTTTTGCTAGCTAGGACTGAAAGGATGGATATGATGGATCCTTATAGTAGGTCCCTTGGCAACCGTAATATTGACAGCAGCTCTCATGAAGCAAAGACGCCTGGCGCTCCCACGGCGGTGGCGTGCGCTGCCGGCGCCTCGTCGAAGAGGCCGAGTTCCTTCTCCTTGGCGCACTAAGGAGGCTTTCAGTGGTTCCTTCATGCAATCAAGACATCTCAGCTGCAGAAATTGCAAATGCTGCTTTTCCGTGCACTGTACAAGCACCGGCTTTGCATTCCTGGTTTCTGGAGGGGTGCAACGACAGGCCGCTTGCTTCGCAGGCGGAG